CCTCGCGCCAGGTTAGTCCAGGTGAGAAGACAGAGCACAGACTCGGGGATAACTGACATCAAGCCCTCTCTGATTGCCTGAACCTACAAGGAAATAACAACATGACAATCAAACCATACCTGCTCGTAAGCATACGTTAACGTTTAAAGACATAATGGTCATCGCAGTTATGTACACAAGTGAAGCAGCTGTGAAAATAAAGCTTGACCTCTGCGAATACCGATGTAGTGCTCTACCAACTAAGTTATCAAGCTACCTGAGAGGTGTTCACGTTGCGAGTTCGTAATATACCCGTAGATGGTGAAGAATGCAAGTGAATACGTGAAAGATCATATATTTGAACTGCGACGAAAGATGTGAAGGCAAGAATGATCATCAATGATCAATCATGTCTGTACATCTTTCTACGCAGTTCAAATATATAATCTTTCACATATTCACTTGCATAACTTAAGATAGCGTTATCACATCCCAATCCTATAGACCTGAAGCGCTATTTTAAAATCACCACTTACAAACTGGCAATTTCCTAGCATTGCGTGATCCTTAATTAGTTAAGTCAAAGATACAAAGTGAAAACACAATGGCCAACATACACCAAAGACATTTGCAGCGAGCAGTAGTTACCATTATTTACAGAAATTTTACCGCGTTTAAATCACGTTTTTTTTTACTCTACCTATCTACTTCACAAACACTCTTCAAACTGTATTATCCCTGTTTAGTGAATTCAGTCATCCGGGCCTTTCTCACTAAGCTAGTGTACTCCTGTCTCTCCTCAGACCTCACTACTCTCCCCTCCCCTCCTGGAAGTAACTCCACACGCCGACCGTCACTCAACACAGTGGAGAACGTGCACTCGTTGCCATAGCTACTGAGGTATGACGCTTCATCTTGGACTTCTAGTTCACCTACGATAAGAAGTTAAAGGAATACCGTGAGCTTAGAAAATGCTTCAGGGACCAGTGAGTTACTTTTGTTCGACAAAAGCACCACGAAATCGTTTCAGTACAATCTGGTCAAACGAACGTAGCATGTGTACAGGAAACTGCACAAGGACAAATTTAAAAGTCTCTTCTCCCCATAGTACAAAAGAGCCAAGAGATAGTCACAGGTTAGGCGGAGAATTTTGCCTCGAATTGCAGAACCTTTGGCACGCTTCTGTGCGGAACACAGCAAAGGCAGACAACAACAACAAAAGAGGAACAGAACGCAAATTGTGCGCAGCTGTGACACACATTGCGATGTATCATGCTATTCAACGCGTCTCGCAAAAAGATCAAAAGCGCGCAAAATAAGGAAACAAGAAACAAGTTGCACAACTCATAGCACACGTACATGTGATGGCGTATTTAGTTCCCTCAACTGCGCACAGAAGTTAACGTCTTGTGAACCTATCACACCACCTGTCCACCTCGAGAAGCGACAGCACCCACGCGCGACGAAGTTCCCTGAAAAAAATCGCGCGTGTAGCGCGCAAGTTGCAGGACAAATTATTCCTTGCAACGGTCAACAGTGTCAACATGTCTGCAGAGATCACGTGTTACTCTCACCTGTTATGTGAACAGCAGCTTCATCAATGGCGACGTAGTCCTTTGCCCACGTGACATGCTCTCCAACAATGAGCTTCCAAACAAAAGGAGGGAACGCCAGAGTGAGGCTCTCATCACTGCGATACGCTCCTCCCATGAGGACCCCTAGCCAATGGAACAAGTGCAGAGTGTCACAAGAGGGATTGGGAATGAAACAGTCCAGAAAATCACCAGTCTTCTCCTAAGAAAAATCATACCGCGAATATTAACACTCTTTTATTGGCTGACTGACTGACTGACGGACTGAATGACGGACGGACGGACGGACTGACTGACTGATTTGACTGACTGAATGTCCGATTGACTGACTGATGAGTGCCAGCCAGCACACTGACTGACTGACTGACTGGTTGACGGACGGACAGACGGATGGACTGACTGACTTATTGACTGACCGACTGACCGACTGACCGACTGACTGTCTACTGATTGACTGACCAACTGACCAGCCAACAGACCGACTGACTGCCCGACTTATTGACTGATCAACTGACCTAGATTTATATTCTATTCCAACCTAAATTACTCAATGCGGCCAAGAAGGAGTGTACCTTGTGATTAGGAGTTCTGATCAGATATGGCAGGATCTCTGGTATGCGTTCTTCAGGAGGGCACAGCTCGTCAACAAGTTCAGCCAAAGAGTCACGAAAACCTCCACCCTAGTGTGGAAAGGGAACAAAGTTAAAGAAAAAATGTCTGCTAACACCAAGGGTTGATTTCTTAAAAGATGTTAAGAAAGCAGTGGTTTTGACTGGATTTAGAAGACACATGTCTGTTGGGTGTCTGTTGTAAAAATTCTCCATCAGACCACAAACGGTGAAAGCGTTTGCCATTTCCTTTCTACAAGTTCTGCAAAACCTAACTAAGCCTAAGCCTAACTAAGAATCCCATTAATTTGCATCGACCCACCTGATCAATTATGCCTTCACCTACAAACTTCACTTCCCACCATTGGCCATACTTCCTCTTGTTCCAGCTACAAAGAAACGAACATATTCTTTAACATCAGTACAGGTGCACTCACCTTCAAACTCATACCCTGGGACTTGTTCGAGCGTGTTTTCCCGCGGTTGGCAAAGGGAACTTGATTTCCCGCGCTTGGCAAATGAAACTCGTTTTGCCGGCACGTTTTCCCTCGATAAACACCCAACGCTTATTTACCACCAATTTTACGTTTACGTGAGCCCTGATTCGTTTATTTGTTTATTTTCGGCCAAAGCAATTGGCGCTATAATTATTTTGGTCTTCGCTCACAACAGTCACTAAATAAACACAAAACCAAGCTTACTGACCGAAAATGAGCCTTCTCCCCTCTCAGCTCATGGTAAACCTGTAAGAAAACACTGTTCCGCGACTCAGCATGGCGCTCGATCAGCGGTACTCGTCTATCCACCATTATCACGGGCATGTAATCAGGAGCCCACAGTTCAGCGGTGTGTAACAGCTCTTGAACCAAGCGCCACCGCTGATTGCAGAGCGGCAACAGAAAACGCATTTTTAGCAGTAGCGATGATAAATCGTACGCACAGAGTTACTGCTGTCATTTTCCTGCTTGCTAGAAGAGCTGACACTCCATTTTCGAGATGACCCAGCTGACTGGTCTGTAATTTTAGTAGCCGGTTGCGCCGAGGAACTGGACTGTTGAAGTTCAATTTTCTCCTGCCTTGAGGCCTCTAGTGAAGACTCCACCTTCTGTTGAATAACAGAAAAAACATAATTACTTCACAAAGCTTAAAGGCAGCTGTATTTACTTTACATTTACTTTACATTGGTGTGCAGTTCCTGCACACCAATTGAAAACTGTTCACATACCAAAGTATGTTTCGTTCACGAGAGAACGTGCGTTATTTTGAGTCCGCGCGTGCGCAGATATGCATGAATCATAACAGTTAACTTATTTGCACATTTTATCAACTTTTAGCAATCAGCCTTCTTGTAACGGTTACCGTAGATTTTGAGTTGTAGTTCCGTTTTGCTGTAAATCTCTTGAGTCACCGGGTAAGTGTTCGCCATCAGGCGTCCAACTTTGCTTATGTTTTTCTTTCGTTTAGTTTCCTTTAGTGTTCATGCCTTTGTTAATATTTCTAGATTTCGAAGTAATCATCGATAACGAATGGAATTAAATTGTTGTGATTCAAGTGTCGAATGATAACGGTGGTAACGGTGAATTGTGCGGGGAGTGAAACAAAATCTTTATTATTGTAAAGCTCATTTGAGTATGCATTAAGTAGAGGCTGTAAAATATCATTTTGATTCTGAGTGTGCTTTACAGCAACAAAAAGCATACGGATCTTATGCAACACAATGTAACCAATCACAGCAAATAATTTATTTTTTAACTAATCAGAAGCTTAACCTGTGACTTGGCTTGTGCGTGTTTTCCCGCGCTTGGCGCCGATGGCATGCTTTTAAGTCTAGCTCTGATTGGTTCATAGCGCTTTTTGATTTTG